GTGGTTGAACACTTTAAATGTCATAACATTCAAGGCTATGGCTTTACTGTGGGAAAGTGGGACTAGTGTAGATTTAGAGTAGTTTGGTTGGTGCAGACCTAATGGGCCAAAGGGCCTCTCCTGTACTGTATAATTCTATGAAAGGAAATCTGCCTTCCTTACCCAGTCTGGCCTACATGTGACTCCAGTCTTGCACCAACCTGGATGACTCTGAGCTGCCCACTGAGATCCTCAGTTATATCAAACCTGTTACCAACAATTCATTAACAAGGAGGAAATGAGACATCATGTAACAAGGCCTGGGCAATAAGTCCCATTGCCAGTGACACTCAGAGACCAAGACTGAATTCAAATAGATGCTGGCTCTGGCTGGGGAGAGTCACGTGGAATTGGGGTTACTACATGAAAGGCTTCCTGGGGTGCATGAACATGTTCTTCAGAGAATCTACACGCACACATGCACAGTGACACACAGACAAACTCGCTGTCTCTCACACATGCAGGTAAGTCACAGATACACACATATTCATGCAAATGTAGAGTCACACAGATACAAACACATAATACACACACTCTGTCAGGCAGTCACTCACCCTCTTTCTCTCACAGTCAGACTCTCATATCTCTCGCATCCGCCACCAACTCTCAAACAGGTATTCACTCTCACAGTCCCTCACATGGGGAGGTGATGATGTGGGTATGTGGTTACTGGTACAATGCTCTGGGAATCCAGGTTCAAATCCTATAAATTCGATTTTAAAATTCTGGAATTAAAAGTTTAATGGTGACAATTGAACTATCTTTTGTCATAAAAACCCATCGAGGTCACTAATATCCTTAGAGATGTATACTGCCAGCTTCATTTGGTCTGGCCTATGTGTAACTCCCTACCCACAGCAATGTGGTCAACTCAACTTCCCTCTGAAATAAATGACAAAGTGCTCAGTTGTATCAAAACCGTAACAAAGTTAGATGGAAGTCATGAAACTGGACTGCTATCAACCCAGGCACTGGAAACGACAACAGCAAACACAAGCCTGTCAACCCTGCAAAGCATTCCTGTGAACATTCGAGGCCTAGTGCCAAAACTGGGAGAGCTGTCTCACAGACTAGTCAAGTGTCAAGATGACAGAGTCATACTCTCAGAATCATACTTTACAGACAATGTCCCAGACACCATCATTGCCATCCCTGGATACATCCAGTCACAGCAGCAGCATAGATCCACCATAGGTGGTGACCTTGGCTAATGAATTAGTGCTCCTCCATTTTGATCACTAGTGGGAGGAAGCACTAAGTGCGAAATGGGCACAGAATATATTCTGGCTGGGAGACCGAAATGACCATCATCAAGATTGGCTCGGACACAGATAGTTGAGTTCTAAAGGACATAGTTGCTAGACTAGGTCTGTTGCAGATGGTGAGAGAACCAACAAGAGGGAACAAACATACGTGACCTAAGCTGCCTGCCACAGGTGCATCTGTCCACGACAATTTTGCTTGGAATGACCACCATATAGTCCTTGTGGAGACAATGTTCTATTTTAACATTACAGATATCTTCCATTGTATTATGTGGCACTATCACCATGCTAAATGGTATACATTTTGAACATATGGTCCATTAATCGCAACAGAATCATCCTCCAACACAAATGATGATGGTTGCAGTTGTTGGAGGTCAGTCACCTCAGCTCTAGGACATCTGTGCAGGAGTTCTTCAGGGTAATGTCTTCTGCGCAACCATCTTGAGCTGCCTCATCAATAACCTTCCCTCCATCATAAGATCAGAAGTGGGATGTTCACTGATGATCGCACAATATTCAGCACCATTCATGACTTCTCAGATAATGAAGCAGTCAAGTGTCCAAATGCGACAAGATCTGGGCAATATCCAGGCTTGGGCTAAAAAGTGGCAAGTAACGGCCATCTCCAACCAGAGAATCTAACCACCACAAAATGACATCAATGCTATTATGATCACTGGTCCCAACTATCAACATCCTTGAGCTACCATTGACCAGAAACTAGCCATATAAATACTGTGGTTGCAATAATAGATCAGAAGCTAGGAATCCTGCAGTTATCAACTGAACCTCCCAACTTCCCAAAGTCTGTCCACCATCTAGAAGGACAAGGACAGCAGATACCTGGGAGCACCACAACCTTCAAGTTCCCCTCCAAGCCACTCACTATCTTGACTTGAAAATGTATTATCATTTCTTCAGCATTGCTGGGTCAAAATCCTGAAATTAGGCAGGGTCTACCTACAGCATATGGGCTGCAGCGATTCAAGAAGGCAGCTCACACCGCCTTCTCACCGGCAAATTCACATCTTGTGAAAGAATTATAAAATAACACCGATTCACACAGAGAAGAACACATACATACCCATTTTCTCACTCACCGTAACTAACATACACTCTGTCTACATCATCAGGCTCCCCTCCATGCAAATTTCTGCACCAGTGAATCCCCTCGACCAACAATCCAATGAAGCATAGAATCTTGCGGAAAACTGATTCATGAAACCTTTAGGATCTAATGGTCCTGTTTGCACAGTACCAAGGGAGTTAAACTCCAAACTACTACCTGTGCATCTGACACATTTCATATTTTAACTATCCTTTGTGAAAACATAAATCCATTTGTCACGTTTCACTGTCTGTGCCTCTAGTTACTTATTACCCAACAAATGCTCATTTTATTTTCTTAAGTTTAACATTTAATTTCATACACCCTATTTTATGCTGAGCCTTTACTGGGAACATTCTCATATTGGAGCAAGTGGAAAAGATAAATTCCCAGGAAAGGTACATTGAGGAGCTTGCGCCATTTAGCTGATTGCAGCCAACACTGCCCTCTGCTGTTCACACACTGCTGAGCTCTCCTTTAACCAGCTGTTAATGAAATTTTACACTGATGCCTGGATCTGAACTAAGGGAGTTCATGCTTCAGGTTAGCGCCATCCTGCAAATTGCTCACTCAATGTTCACTCTCACTCCTAATTGGCTGTGCAAGCTAGTCTCAGATGAAAAGCAAAACTATCTTGTAACTTTATACAAGGTTAAACAGCACCTGTCACAGAAAGAAAGATTAAAGTTTAGGCTGAGGGACACCAACAAAATCATAGAACTTTAAAATCCCATTGTCCACTCTCCCATGGCCCTGTTAATGCAAAACTAATTTGCCCGCATCTCTTCTGTGTTGCCCTTGTCACTTTGTGTTCCACAGCAGAGCTTTATGTACAGTGTGATTGGTTATCCATAGCTTTGTGCAAATAGCATAGTGATACAGCTCGGAAACAGACCCTTTGGGTCAACTCGTCCATGCCAAACAGGTATCCCAAACTTAACTAGTTCCATTTGCCTGTCTTTGGCCCATATCCCTCCAAAGCTTTCCTATTCATGCACCCATCCTTTTAAATGTTGTAATTGGACCCACCTCTATCACTTCCTCTGGGAGCTCATTTCATACATGCACCACCCTCTGAGTGAAAATGTTGACCTGCTACAAAAGAACATGTTCTGAAATGCAATGTTCACTGCGCCCCCACTCTCCCTGGCAGCCTCTACACACTGATATATCCCCTCCCCGTCAACTTCTCTTTCACCGGGCATTTGGGCACCCACTCCTCCCTGTTCCAGTCTTTCAGATTCAAATTGGTCTCAATGTCAACTCTTTTTCTCTCTACACAGATACTGCCATACCTGCTGAACTTCTCCAGTGTATGCTGTTTTTAATGCCCCCTTCTCCTATTGGCTGCCCCACAAGCTGATGAAAGGCATTCAAAACATTTTGAGTGCTGACAGTTCAGTGAAACAACCAAAATTAGTGCATGGTCAGAATGTGAGGTGCTGCTGCTGGTAATAGTTGATATTGATTGCATTGCTGGATGTAGGCAAGGCCAGTGATAAAATATGAAATCACCAGAAGATTAATAAAAGATAATTAAACAGACAGATATCTTTCTTTTACTGATTCCTAAGAAATTGGAAACAAGTCCGGTCATTTCTAGGTCCAATGTTGTCTCACTGCCAGGAAACATAATCAGTTGTTGCAAAAACCCATCTGATTCACTACTGCCCTTTAAAGAGAGAAATCAGCTGTCCCTAATTGGTCATGTGAATCCAGACCCATAGCTACAAGCTTAACTATTACTGACATGTAACAAACACTGGCTCAGCCAGTGACACCCACATGACATAATAAAAAATAAACCCAGTGACCACCTACACCCAACCCAAATCCAAGCAGGGCCAGGGCGACGCTGTTCCTCATGGGAAGGATAAATAATCGCGATGGCACGGTGGCTCAGAGATCAGCCTTGCTGACTCACGGCACCAGGGACTTAGGTTTGATTCCACCCTTGGGCGACTGTCTGTGTGGAGTTTGCACATTCTCCCTGTGTCTGTGTGGGTTTCCTCCCACAATCCAAAGATGTGCACACTGGGTGGATTGGCCGTGTTAAATTGCCCAGGCGTGCAGGCTAGGTGAATTAGCCATGGGAAATGCAGGGATTGAGGTATGGGGGAGGGTTTGGATCTGGGTGGGATGCTCTTTGGAGAGTGGGTGTGGACTTGACGGGCTGAATGGCCTGCTTCAACACTGTAGAGGATTCTATAATGAACAGCCATTTTTCCAGTTAGGGCTAGGAAGCAAACAGCCTTGTAATGGACACAGCCCAACTGTTCAGATCTTAAACTGATCATCCCAGATCCATAGACTGACCAATCCAGACCACAGACTGACTGTCACAGATTAACAATTCCTGATCACAGTGACCAGGTCAGACCATAGACTGACCGCAAAGATCCCAGAGTTGAGAGTGTGATTCATGCTTTTTCCTCGGTCTGATTTTTATCAATGCCAAAGGGTCACTGCTCAATACTTCCAAGATTTGAGTTGATGTCAATTTAGGAATTGAAAATAGGCCGAGCAGAGTTTGCTCTTAATGACAGAAGCACACAACAGGTACCCCAAGAGAATCAGTCAGCAGCTGGATTTATTATTTTTTTATTAAAGTAAAATTTACTAAAAGCTGAAAAAAATTCAGTAACCTTATCCTCAGAACAATAATTTGTTACTATAGCAACTAAACCATGTCTTGATGTGGAGCTCACCCAGACAGATGATGTTAAAGGGTAGCTACTACACGGAAATGCCACATCACTCTAAATGTGTAGGTCCCAGGGAGATCCCCACAAGCTTCCCATTGCTGTCACCACGAGGCCAGTGACATTCTGTGCAGAGGCTACCCACAGGGAGCTGGTGGCTAGGGGCTATGGGCAGCTCATGCAATTCAAGTCACACAAGAGATGGTCCAACACAAAATCCACAGCTTGAAAGCACAGAGAGATTGGAAATGAAAGATAATTCTCATTACAACATTTAGGATTATGTGGCAATTTAGCAGGAAGTGAAATGGTAAAATATTTAAAAAAAAGTGAATAAAGAACTTAGGAAAAACAATGATGGGATCGGGGCTGAATCCATGAGAAGAATGGAGATCAATCAGAAAGAACGGAAGGAGCACTGAGTGACGCCGATTGGGAAGTGCAGCAACATTTGGGTCATTGACTGAATCTGCTCAAAGGTAAAGGAATTCACACCTTAAGCCAGGTGAGAACATTGTTCAGGTTTAATTGCAGCTTTGCTGAGATGCTTGTAACTTAGAAAATAACACAACATAAAGTGGCTTCACTGAGGCTCAGGTACAGAGAAATGAGGAGGAAATGGTCCGGGCTTTGAAACCTTTATAATAAACAGATGATACAAGCCAGCCTGCCAAGCAGATTCCAGTGTACTTCTCTGACAGTAGGCTTGTCAATAATCTTTCCACTTTAGGGATTACTCTACATATTATACTTTGGGCTTTATTTTAAGCCCATTGCAATTCCACAGACTTCCCACAACCCGTTTTGTTGCATCGTGACATGCCAACATGGCTAGAGAATTGTTCCCTCTTACAGTTTCCTTTCAATATTGTCCTATAGTCTTCAAAGACTTCAAATGTTTGCAAATTGATTATATAGATCATGGGGAACCTCCCCAACAGTGTAATGTTACAGTGAAAGATTCCTCACCCTAAGATAAAGGGCCTCCAGTTCACACACTGCAGATGGCTTATGAGCCAAATCATCCCCTGTGGTCAGTCCTCACCCTGCCAGCAATGGATGTGGGCGAGTGGATTTCTTCAACCCTGTCAAAGGTGATCACAGTCGCTTCTCTTCACGGATATGATAGTAACACAGCATTAAAGGTGAGTCCCAACGTTAGTATGGTACACCCCTTCCTCTGCCACCTCTGGTTGGTATTCTGCCATGTACCCTGTTATACCCTGAGCCCCGTGATGGTGCATTCCAGCTCAGTCCAGTCATGGTGCTGCTGGGCACAGCACTTCCCGGCATTGGGCTGCTGTAGCTGTAGTTTGGTGGTTTGGCGTCTGCAGGCATGCTTGTGCTATTGTTACCTTCTGTACCAGTTACCAGAGCTGGTAAAGTAACCCTGGTAAAGTTAAACCGGTGATCCTGATCTGCTGTAAACTGCATCGCACCCATGTCCTGGTACGTAGTGGACTCTCCAAACTCACTCAGTGAACTGGACAATGTCCTGGATTGGGTCAGCTGTTTGGAAGTGCTGGCACACATGGCAGATTTGCTGTCCAGTAGTGCGTGCCCAGTCATCTCCGAGTCTCTCCTTTCACTTGTACTGACATTATTCCTGAACCCGTCTGTACCATAGCTGTTAGTTAAATGTGAGCTGCCATATTCTGGCACTCTGTTAAGTCTGTCGTTCTCCTGTGAGTCCTCTTTGTTCAGCAACTGCAGCAAAGCAGCTTTCACTCCTGCATTCGGGTCCTTGGTAGAGGGGCTTCCTCTAAGGTTAATTCGACAATCGGTATCACCCAAGGTGGGTGGGGGGCCAGGTGGCTCTGGCGGTCGCTGGTCTGGAGGAAGAATTCGAGTTTGACTTACTGCAGGAGGCGGCGCAGGAACTTTTATATCCAGTTTAGTGAGGGCAGCACCATCTAGATAAAAAATACAAGGTAGTGGTTACTGCCAATATTAATGCTCCTCATTGGCCTTTTTCACCATCTCTCACTACAAATATATAAAAAGGAGGAACAGGAGTAGGCATTTGGCCCCTCAAGCCTGCTCTTCCATTCAATAAGATCACGGCTAAACTGTTTGTGTTCTGAATTCCATTCTCCCAACCACCCCAATTAACCTTAGACTGGCTAACAAGATTCTATCTACTTCTGACTTAAAAATATTCAATGACCTCCAGCCATTTTCTGAGCTCCAAAGTCATAACATCAGAGAAAAAAGTTCCTCTCATCTCCGTCCTGAAAGGACAGCCACTAAATTTAAACTGTGATTGACTTTCATGGTCACTGGACCAATACTCCAGCCGATGCTCATCATTCACGCCTCAATTCATGGGTAAAGTCAGGCTATTCAACTGCAAGAATCATCACAGCTTAGCTAAAGCCTCTCCTGACTTGCCCATCTTCAGAGTGAAGGGACAGCGATAAGATGCGATGGGCACTGACAGATCAGATTTAGTGTTAAAAACATTGAAATGGAACCTTTTATGCTTAAAAACGGATTACACTGGCCAGGAAGCAGTGAGGTTGAAGGTTCCCCTACAGAGAATATTAAAAGCACCACCTCAAGTGGAGATGGGCATAAAGAAATAATGGAAATTATTTCTATATGGCAACAGCAAGGCATCTAAAAGTTGAAATATAATGGAAAATGTATATAACTCAGTAGGACTACAGTTTGAGACTTTGTCCAGTTTGGGCTCCATGCGCAGGAAGGATGATCAGTGTAGATTAAAGAGGATGCTGTCAGGTTCAGGAGTTATAAATTGAAGACAGACTTGAGAAAATGGGACTTGGTCATTAGGACACAGGATTAGAACATGATTTGATAGAGACATTTAATCAAATGACATTATGGGATAGAGGAAGTAAAAAGAGTGTTTCATTGGTTGAAACTTAGGGACAGGAGTAGAAATACAAAGTTAGAGTGAGAGACTTGGGATGGAGAAGAGACAAAGGTATGAGACTGTGAAACATGCAACTGAAGTGACTAATGAAAAAGTGTCAACAGGATAAATGGGTGGCTGAAGGGATGGAAATGAAAGCATGTTGCATCAGGGTAGAAAGATGGGATTAGGATACTGCTTGTGGAAGAGACTGGGTTGGATAGACTTGATGCTTCCATGTGTAAACCTCTGCACATTTCTCCCCTTCATTAAATTTGATCCCCTGAAACCTACTGAGAGCTTGTTCTCACTGTGGTTGAAATTACTAAGGACAGCCCAAAGATTGAAGCAAGAACATTCTATCATTTAGCTCAAATACACTGGAACCGCCACAGCTTCTTTATCACTGATTGCTAGGGCCTAGTAATCAAAATTCTGGATCCCCTCCCTAATATCATTCTGGGGGTACCTAGAATAAATGGATTGCAGCAATTCAAGAACTCCCACCTTCTTGGAACAACTAGTGATAGACAATAAATACTGGCCCAGCCAACAAAGCCCATGTCTCCTGAACAAATATAAAAGTTAAATTTGAATCTTGTGGCGCTACTACAAACATAGCAGCAACTTTACAACTTTATGGACACTAATCTGTTGACAAGGAATTGTGACAAACATGGAACAAGTTAGGTGTTAGGAAAGGGTGCAGGATATGCTGTTGTTTACTGTTATAATGGGTTGATACCTCAGGCTGTTTACCAGTGGAGTGTGCCATCAATCAGAATGGCAACCCAGAGGCTGCATGGACTATTGTGTCTGTGTCGGCCCTCTAAAGGAAACATTCACCCTCCTGCCTTCACCCTACAGTGCCCACGCTTTCTTCCTTTTCAAATAATCATTCCATTCCCTCTTGACTGTCTTGAATAAACTTACCTCCAACACACTAAGTAGTGCATTTCAGATTCCAACAATTGCTGCATGAAAAAAGTTGTTGCCATTGCTTCTTTTACCAATTACCTAAAATCTAAGCCCTCTGGTTCTTCATCCTTCCACCAATGGAAACAGTTTCTCTCTTGTTACTTTGTCTAGACCTCTCATGATTTTGAATCTCTCTATTCCAGGCAGGATTTTCATAACTTGTCCAGGTTGTCTATGCAACTGAAGTTCCTTCTCCCTGGGACCATACTCATGAAGCTTTTCTGCATACTCAAAAGCCCTCACATCCTTCGTAAAGTATGGTAACCTCTATTAATAAAGTGTAGGAGGATACTGTGTACTTTATTGAACACTCTCAACTTATCCTGCCCACCTTCAATAATTTATGCACAAATACACACAGGTCCTCTGTTCCTACACCCCCTTTAAAACCACACTCTTTGTATTCTACTGAGTCTCAACATTCCTTCTACCAAAATTAATCACGTCTCTGTATTAAATTTCATCTGCCACTTATCTGCCCATTCCACAAGCAAGATTCACCAGTGGAGAAAGATGAGCTACATAATTTGTGAAGTAACAAAGCGATGAGAAACACTGATAGAGAGTGGTAATTACCTGCGGCGTCAGTAGTGATAGTGGGAGTTTGCAGCTGCTGTGGTCCATCACTCGCTTTGATGCCATTGGTTTCTTCAGGCACTGTAGCGGGTTCCTGAGATTTAACCAGCTGACTAAGTAAAACAGTCAACAAGTTCTGTGTGTCGCTCTGGGTGTCAGCCTCCTGAGATATGGACTGAGATGGCTGGGTGGATGTCACCTGTGGTAGGGCAGCAAGGACCTGTGGAAGGGGAGCTGATATTGGCGTTAAGGGTGTTGCTGCAGATGGAGCTGGTGCTGCTGTTGGAGGAGGCTGGTTGGATGGTATAGAGGGAGATGTATGTTGGGTCACTACGGGAAGCTGAGCATCCTGCTGCTGACTGGTGGCCTCAGCCAGAGCCACCAGTGATTGGCTAAGGACGTTCCACTGCTGCTGTGTCTCTGGGTTAGTACTAACGTTCAATGCTTGTGCCAGCTGGGTGAGGCTGAGATTAGTCTGTGTCTGCAGCAGGTTGAGCAGCACTGCTAACTCATTCTGGTTTAGTTGTTGTGCTGCGTCTCTGATGCCTACAGAAAACAAAGTGAAAGGTTCAAAACTCTCACTGATCACAAGTTACATTTGTCAGACTTTACCATCACTACCTACATTTTTAAAATAAGGTGTATTCTGTTTAGCAACGTGCAACAGATTTTGCAGTTAATCCCATTTTTAAGGAGTAATTAATAACTGATGAACAGGCTTTATTAATGAGTCATGGAATCTCAATGCTCATTTTCACAAAGCTTATGTTATTTTGAAATGGTAAGGCAGAGTGTGAGAATGTTTTTTGATTATTACGAGTGTTTTAGTTCCTTGGTTGCTGAATCACAATCAATGTTTGTGAAATGAATACAGGCTCGGGAATTAACTGTGTGAAAATCATTTCAACTTAAGTGAGTGCATGAACTAAAATTCATCCATCAATAATTTTCAAATGGATTACACTGATTGGCCATTTCTATCCCTATCAATATGAATAGTCTGTATCAAAGAAAATAAAAACATAAATCACCTTATGATTTTCTCACTTGAACTGCCCATAACTCTAAGCCTCTTTGGGCATACCCAACAGCTAACATTCCCACCCAGCTCTGTATCTTCAGCAAATTTGGATACATTAATCTTTGTTTTCTTCACTAATAATTTCCACTTCATTAATATAGTTCGCCAATAGCTGAGATCCAAGCATTGATGCCTGTGCCACCCCATTAGTTACAGCTGGCTAACTTGAACTGCCCTATTCACCCTTACTCTTTATGGCTATCGTTTAATCAATCCTCTTTCCATGTTAATATATTAAACGGTAACCTCAACTCCATCAGCCCTTATTTTAGGTATTATCTTTTTATGAGGAACCTTACAAAATGCTTTTTGGAAATCTAAACTTAGTACAACCACTGGCTCCCCTTTATATGTTATAGTCTACACATCTGTTATAATTCGCCAAGCCCAAATTTACGATGGAAACTGTCTATGGAAACACCACAGAAACGCTGCTGGGCATCAAGACACGTATTCACATTCAGGTAAAAATATCGGCTTATGAGTTTACATTGTTAGAAAATAATTTGATGATTAATCAGTTAGAAACACAGAAATGTAGAAGAATTAGGAACATGTCAAAAATCACATGACACCAGGTTATAGTCCAACAGGTTTATTTGAAAACACTAGCTTTCAGAACGTTGCTCCTTCGTTAGGTATGGTGAGAGAGGAGGTATCAGGATACAGAATTTATAAATAAAAGATCAAAGGATCATATAACTAATGCGAATGTATTGAATAAACCTAAAATGGCTGGCTGACTCCCTCCTGTTAAATCTTTAATCAGTTAGAAAGGAAATGCAGGTTTCAACTGATTAAAATGCAAATCCCAAAATTTCTTTCAGTCTTTGCCTCGAAATAACCAAAGGTTTTATACAAGGCCTCATCCCTAAAATGCATTGTCTGATCTGAGATGTCACCTCTTATATACACTGATAAAACCTTTTACTTATAAATTCTGTGTCCTGATACCTCTTCTCTCACTACACCTGAGGAAGGAGCAACCTTCTGAAAGCTAGCGTTTTCAAATAAACCTTTTGGACTATAACTTGGTGTCGTGTGATTTTTGACCTTGTCCAACCCAGTCCAACACTGGCACTTCCACATCACAATTAGGAGCAGGAGCAGGCCAGTAGCCTTGGAGCTTACGCTGCCATTCAATATGATCATGGCTGATCATCCATCTCAGTAGGTGGGAGGATGGAAAAGCACAGCAGGTCAGACAGCATCCAAGGAGCAGGAAAGTCAATGTTTCGGGTTGAAACCATTCAGTCCTGACAAAGGGTTTCGATCCGAAACACTGACCTTCCTGCTCCTTGGATGCTGTCTGACTTGCTATGCTTTTCCAGCCTCACACCTATAGACTTCACGCCTACAGACTCTGGCTTTCAGCATCTGCAGTTCTTATTGTCTCCTGATCATCCACCTGTTCCCGTGTTCTCGCCTAACCCTTTGATTCTGTTAGCCCTAAGAACTATACCTAACTCCTTTTTGAAAACATTCAATGTGTTGGCCTCAACCGCATTCTGTGGCAGTGAATTTCACAGGCTCCCTGCTCTGAGTTAAGAAATTTCTTCTCATCTCAGTCCTAAATAGCCTACCCCATATTCTTAGGCTGTGACCCCTAGTTCCAGACTTCACGGTCATTGGGAACATCCTTCCTGCATCTACCCTATTAGATTTGTTTAGATTTCTAGGAGATCCGTCTCCATTCTTCAGGGTTCAGTGAATATAGTCCGAACTGATCCAATCTCTCTTCATACATCAGTCCTGCCATCCCACGAATCAAGTCTGGTAGAACTTTGTGGCACTCCCACTATAGCCAGAACATCCCTGCAAGCAATATTGCACGTGTGGTCTCACCAAGGCCATGTACAATTGCAGCGAGAGATACCTGTTCCTGTACTCAAATCCTTTCGCTATGAAGGCCAACATACCATTTTCCTTCTTTACCGCCTACTGCACCTACATGCTTACTTTCAGTGATAGTAGGAACTGCAGATGCTGGAGAATTTGAGATAACAAGGTGTAGAGCTGGATGAACACAGCAGGCCAAGCAGCATCAGAGGAGCAGGAAAGCTGACGTTTCGGGCCTAGACCCTTCTTCAGAAAAATTTTCTGAAGAAGGGTC